TCCAGTTCCCAGCTTAAAGGGGATGACTATTGTGCTATAATGTGGACTGGAAGGTCACACCCGCATTTACTTATTTATTTGTGTCATGTTCCCTTAAACCTCAGAGCAACGATGCGAATAACACCAGAGCATACGTGGTGTCTTAAAGCTCAAAACATGAAGAAGCAGCAGAGTCAGCTTTTTCACGTTCCCTCCACTTTATGGGGGGTGGGGGTGGGGGGGTTATTACAGAGAGGGCGGGAGGAGGGAAACTGGGCGCAGTCTGTACAGTGGCACAGTGGTCTCCCAGTCCAAATACGGAAAAAGAAACCGACAGGTAGCTGAGATATACATGCAAATCGATATGCAAACCTCAGGACCAGGACAGCGAGCTGCCTTTTCATGCAGCCTGTGAGTCCAAAGCCTCACTCTCTGAGTTTACAGGAGAAAGAGCACCTTTGCACTTAAAAACAGACCAATAAACGGAATCTCTCACCTTTCGGAGTCTTGCAAGGAGACCTGCTACATGCTCGTGCTGCTCCGACCGGGCGAGATCTTCTGCTGTCTTCCCATCCTGTCGGAGAAAAATGATTAGTTTCCTTCCTTCTCAACAGAGAGTGTGCGTTCCACACGCCCCTTCCGTCATCGGAGGCAGAAACAGAACAGGAGGCAGAAGCAAAGACGGTGGCCAGACAGCGCATCCGGCTTATTCCCTCTCAGGGGAATCCTCATTTCACTTGACTGTGCAGGGAGGGAAGAGAAGTAGGAAGAAGTCGTGCATTGGTGTTCTGAGGTCCAATAGTGAGGTGCCTCAGCCCGCCCCCCCCCCCCCCCCCCGCTTTCATCATATTCAGCACCTCATTAGCAGGCAGACTACTTGGTGAACTGAATCCTTCTCCCATTAGGCAGACAATAAAGATGGTCATTAGACACCGAATTCCAGTTAGGTCAGCTAACATCTTAAAATACTTCCAGAGGCCACCTCAGCACCGATGTCATGCTAGTGACTAGTCACTGCTGTGATTCAAAGAAAGGTTTTGTTTAACAGACAATTATATCCACAGACTTTCAGTGAATGTAAAAGAAGGATGTGGACAAATAAGGGGCCACATGTCAAACCTGACAAGCTCAGGGGAGGCCTGCACGGCGGTCTTACAAACTCAGACCGAACGTAACCACATAGGATGGACTGGAATTCAAACGTTCTAACTAAAAGTGAGTCAGGGTGGGTAGTCCTGTTTTAGGCCTGTATCTCCCCTGACAAAGGGCAATCTTTAGCTTAATTGAGCCTGTCTATTGTCTTTTTGCATCTATGGTAGCGTACTTTTGGAATGTCAGAGTATTCCCTTTTTTCCAGACCCCTCAGGGCACAATCTCCCACCACAGCACAGACCACAGAGCCCTTCATTGTCATTATTAACTATCCTCTACCCACCTATGTAAAAGAAGGATGTGTCTCTCCTTTTACTTTTTATCCAATCTCAGAGATTTCCACCTCCCACATGCCTAATCCTCCGGCATCCCTAATCTATCACCAATGGTTTCATGTGACATCCTCACATTTTCCTCCTTTGATTCTAATGTATAAAATAGGGTGCAAAACCGCCATTCTCAGGAGCATTTTCTCAATCCATTGAGAATTTGCTTCCTTGCAACTGTCAAGTTTGGTTCAAATAAACGCGTAAGAATTCTTACAGTTTTGGACGCTCCTTACATCAACAAGGATATAAATAAGGGCTCATGGATGGTACTTCGCTGTTTACTTTTTAATTAGGAAATTTCCATGGGGCTGCAGTTCCATACTACCCGAGTCCATTTGTTTCGTGCCATGCACGTGCAGGACGGTGGCTAACATTTCCCGAGCTCCTCCCAAGCATCGCCCTGGTCCAGCTCTCACGGCTTTGTGTGCACGACTCAGTCACTCATGGGAGGCGGGAAGTGCGGCTGTGCACAGGCCGCCCAGGAGGACATGAGGTTAGGCCCTGCTGTGCTGCCGTTCTAGAAATCCTTATACATTTAAAAGTAGAAACGACGAGGAGCAATTTCCACATAAATAAAAGCAACATTTTTAGACAAGAAGAACAAGAAGCCTTTGGGCCTATCTCTCAGTGTTTGGCAGTAGCCAAGTCCCATCCCCACGGGAAGCTGAGAAACGCCGGTCTGTTCAACAGCACACCTTCCCGTCTCTCACAGCCAGTCACTCTCTGAGCCACGCGTGGGGTCCCAGGCAACCAGTGTTTCTCAACCTCAGCATGACTGACATTTCGCACAGGGTCATGCTCAGTGTGGGGGCCTGTCCCGTGCACCGTGGGATGTCTGGCAGCATCCCTGGCCTCACCTCTAGATGGCAGCAGCATTCCCCTGATCCACTGGCGACACCCTCGGTGTCTCCAGCCACTGACCAATGCTCCCTGGGGGCAAAGTGCCAGGTGAGAACCAGCACCTTGGGCTGAAGCTGGGAGCTCAGAGGGGTGCTGGGAGGAGGCGTGCCTACAGGCCCGTGTCACCCCTCTCTGCTCCCTAAGATTCCCGAAAAGTGTCCAATGGGCAGGCGGGGCTTCTGGTTTGCTTTGGGGATGCATTAGGTGCCACGTCAGGACTCATGGCAAACTGGTTAGATCCTTACTGACATGGTAAGAAAAGGACTCAGTGGCTCCCAGATTCCACTGCACACGGGAATCACTGGGGTCTTTAAGAACCCCCCCCACCCCCCCTGCCAGGTCTGGAGTGAGGAGTGGGGAGTGAGGGGAACTCACTTAAAAATCTCACTTAAAAATAACTCGCAGGCCTGCTAGCAGAGCCAGGCTTCTAAACAAGAGACAGCAGCTCTCGTCAACTGTCGCCCACACACCAGGGCCCCTTCCTCCTCCCTCTCCGACAGCCAAGGCACCTCCAGTGCCCTGCATGGAGGGGGAGCATTTAGGAAAGAACACACACATCTAATAAAACCGGCAGAGGCACAGTTACGTAACACGGGGAACAAAAAGGCCCCTGGGAGGCAGCAGCATTCCCGGGCGAGAGGAGAGGGGGAAGCGGTGAGGAGATGTCACCCCGGCTTGTGTGGGCACAGGTTCCCGCACTGCAGCGCAGGGGCCCCGCTGCCAGGCCAGCCTTCACCCCAGGCCTTTTCCGGCCAGAAGGCTACTCACCGAGGTCAGCGCCTCCACGTTGGCGCCCGTCAGACAGAGGTAGCGGACCACGTCGAGAATCCCGTTGTTGGCGGCCAGGTGCAGGGGTGTGCGGCCATACTGCAAGACACAGAGAGGCCCCAGAGGGTTCTGAGGATGTGCCTGAGGATGGCGGCCAGCCCTCTGCGAGGGGTCTGGGACCCACCAGAAAGAAGCAGGAGGCGTGGCCTGCTTTTCCAGAAACTCATATCTCCTGGAGGAGGCGAGCCAAGCACAACGTTCTCAAGTGTTTTTTCAGTTAAAAGAGTAACTTCAAAGGGTGAAAGAGTGGGAGGCTTATCATGAGGTAATTAAGTCTCTTGCTGCGCTGGCATAAAGGAGGGTTCAGTCAGGGCTCAAGGGCCGGCCCCCAGGTTCCAGAAAGATCTGCCCCACAGTTCACATTTAGACTCAGCAAGGGACGAAGGGATGGGAGGACAGCCATTGAAGGCACACTAATGAGGTCATGCCCACCTTTTTTTTTAAAAAAAAAATGATTTTTTAATTGATTTCAGAGAGGAAGGGAGAGGGAGGAAGAAATAGAAACATCAGTGATGAGAGAGAATCATCCATCGGCTGCCTCCTGCACACCCCACACTGGGGATCAAGCCCGAAACCCACGCATGTGCTCTGGGCCAGAATCGAACCCGGGACCCTTTAGTCCGCAGGCTGACACTCTATCCACTGAGGCAAACTGGCTAGGCATGACCACCATTTAAAAAAAAAAGTCCATGGTTCCTAAATTGTGTAACTAGGCACCTCCGGGCGCTGCAGTCGATTCCTGGAGGCATGTTAAATATTTTAAATTTCTGCTGAAACCAGCAGGTGGGACACCAGGTGAGCTACTAGCTCCAGGTAGTGAGGGTCTCAGCGTTGGGTTGTCCTGTCTTCCTTTCACTGACACCAGCGGGGCCTTGGCGGTTACTGTGACAAGGAGCAAACTTATTTTGAGAAAATTAATGTTCAATCTGAGTCCAAGATGTGAGGGGCGGTGAGAACATCCCATTAGTACATAATTGTGGTTATGTAAGAATGACATTAACCTATTCGTTTTCTTTCGATTATGTGAATCATTCATTGCAACGGCTACTAACTTGTTAGGATATAAAGACTTACTAAGCTGTTTAGACGGAGCCACTTAATAAACAGAACTGTTAGGTATTTCTTTGGCCCTGGGGGAACCACGAAAAAATTACTGAGACACAACAGATGCTGGGAACCAAGAAAGTTAGGGTACCTCTGTCTTCTATTGTTTATTTGCAAATATAGGTTTTTTTGTTATGAAGTCAACACAGGCTCATTTGAAATGTCCCAGCAACGTGGAAGGATAAACGGTAGAAAACAGAAGTCCTCCTTCCCCACTCACTCCCGCCCCTGCCCCTGCTCAGAACTGGCCCTACTTAACACTCTGGGGCATTTCCTCCCAAGCTTTTACCGATGAATCCATAAAAGGTCATACATTGTTTGAAAAGTCCAGACATAATCACCCTCCAGATTCTATTCTGTCACCTGCTTCGTGCACCTAACAATTGGTTGTGAACACTTTCCCATGTGTCACTGAATCTTCTTTCGGACACCTGACTAATGCCCACGACACGGACATGCCACAGGTCATTCGCCAGCTCATTCGCCAGCCCACTGCGGAGGGACACTCCTTGCCACTGTGAATAACCCTGCAAGGTGTGTGCCTGTTCATGTTTTGTCTACTGTTATCTTCTAGAGCGACTTAGAGAGCAGCACCCTCAGTACCTACACCACATGTCAGCTACAGGGGCCTCCAGACAGCCCCCAAACACACACGTATGCTTCCCTCGGTCTGCAATGCAGTCTCCCCTCTTCATCTGTCAAACTCCCAATCATTTTAAGGGATTGCCCCTGAAAAGCTTTTCCTAGTTTCCTTAATGTCCAGATGTCAGCGTTTCCATAGCGCCTGTGCGTCTGTCATTGCCGTGATTGAGACATGAGATGCTATTACATTGAGGAGCAAAAATAAAAGAGAGAGAGAGAAGCAGCCTGAGGGCAAGAGCTATCACCCTGCTGCCCACAAGCTCCCTCCCACGGGCCAGGCACAGTGCTGTCCGAGCCGGGAAGCGATGAACACCTGATGGGCACGAATCCTCTCTCACGCTCCTGATGCACGTGTGTGTGCATCTGTGTGTACATGTGCTTGTGTACCACACGCATTCTCTCAACTGATGAGAAGAGGCAACACAAAAGGAATGAAGAGTTAAGGGCTGTGTGCTCTGCATCGTCTAGTTCCCGCTCACGTGTTCCCTAACATGGCCGTGTTCAACAGCCACTCCCCCGATTTTCATACGAGGAAAGCTAAGACTAAGAACTGTCTATTACACCATGAGTGTGGAAGGTAGTGACGAGTTGCTGTCACATCCTGGTGACAGGGGTGGCATCTGAATGGCATTTTTATCTCTGGGGGAACTGAATCCAAGGAAGGAACAGGCACACCACAGGGAAGGAGCGACAGTCTGTCTGCGGGCGTGGGCTGTCACTGTGCCGTGTCCGGGAATCCTGACAGCCAGTGACTAGGGTGAGTCCATGGGAAGCCAGCTTTCTGGGGGAAATAATACCTTCCTCTTACCTCCCTGCACATCTTTTAAGCTCCTCTAGAGTCCCCGTTATCTTTCCAAAAAACCCAAAAGGAATAGAGAAGCAAAGCTGACACCAGCCCTTCTGAAGGCGGGAGACCCATGAAGTCGCTGTGGGCTGAGCCTGGCGCTGAGGGCAGTGGGGACCTGCCTGCAGGTCCAGAACCTGGAGCTGCTCCAGCAGCTGCTGCTCCAGGCGGGCTCTGAGGAACGGGCTGAACTTCGCTGCTGATCCCAGGAGGTTGAAATTGTGCAGCTAATGAGTTTTCCTCCTGCTAAGCTCAACTCAATGACAAAATCGACTGAATGCCCTGTATGTGCCATTGCTGGGCCGACATAGTAAAAATACAAGTTTATGTTGGTGTGTATGAACTACCACGGCCATCTATAGTATCAAAAATGTCAGCGTTTCCTAATGAGTAACCCCCCCACCCCGGCAAATGTTGAGGCTTTCCTATGAAATGAACCAGTTGTTTTTTCTTCTTTCTTAAATATATTTTTATTGGTTTCAGAGACGAAGGGAGAGGGAGAGAGAGAGAGAAACATCAATGACGAGAGAGAATCATTGATTGGCTGCATCCTGCACACTCCACACTGGGGATTGAGCCCGCAACCCAGGCATGTGCCCTTGACTGGAATCAAACCCGGGACCCTTCAGTCCTCAGGCCGACGCTCTATCCACTGAACCAAACCAGCCAGGGATGAACCAGTTGTCTTTAAGCATGAAAGTCTACGATCTTTCTGGGCATTTTATAGAGCATACTTAACAAACGCACTGTTTTGCACTGAGGATGAGGCGAATACCCGGTCCCTCCTTTAGAGGTATTGGTAAGACATGGTGTTCGTACGCCTCAGCCGGCAGACAATGGCCAAGTCTAAATGTATTCAAATGAGTGCCCCGATGTTCCTTGAAGCCGCTTTTTACTCATTTAAAGACTCCTAGAAGGAACGCCAAGGTCTTGATGCTTCTTAACATTACATTTGGCTTTCCCCTTAAGCCACTTACATAACTGACTTGGCAAGATTAGAATGGGATAAACTCAGAAAGCAACCAGCAGCTAATGGCTAATGCCTTTTCATATTTCTAGAATGTGAAGATTACCAATTTCAACTTCCACTAGAACTAATCACATAATATGCAACAGAAATAATTTTTTCGGTAGAAGTATAATTTTCTGCTTGTTTCAGATTTTAATTCTTTTACCTCAAACAAATCATAATGAAATTTTTCTGGCATCATCCCTGCCATTTATAAAACAACATTTCCCGCCCGAGCCGGTTTGGCTCAGCAGTCAGAGCGTCAGCTCAGGGACGGAAGGGTCTTGGGTCCTTGGTTGCAGGCTTGATCCCCAGTCCTGGTTGGGGCACGTGGGCGAGACAACCAATTGATGTGTTTCTCTCACATCGATGTTTCTCTCTTCCCCTCCCTTCCACACTCTCTAAAAATCAATGGGAAAAATATCCTTGGGTAAGGATTAACCGAACAAAAAACAAAAAACAAACAACAAAAAAACATTTCCCACAATTAATCAAAATAACTTCACTTGGACTTTGTTTTTAACATTACCTTCACAGAATAGTGCTTGCCATTCATACAGTCACAGGGTCAAAACCAACTGTTCTGTCTGATTTGGTAATGAAAATCTAGATGGCATTTAGGGGAAGGGGAAGTGTTAGCTAACTTCTAAAAGTCAACATAATAGCATTTAAAAAACCCACCTAGGAACATGAAATTATTTATTTGCATTTCTCTTTTATTCACCAAATAATAGCATCCTCTTGGTCTTAAAAATTTATTTAGCACAAAAAAAAGGTGTAATGAACTTCTGACCATAAAACTCTCTGTGGGGGTAAGCTAAGGGGAGAAATCTGGTCCTAGAAATCCCAATCAAATCAGAACTCAGGAGGTGTTTTCCTGAAGACTCAGAGCTCCAGAAAGACACCCCAATTTTGTAGCACGTTCTCGGATTCCTCTACAAGTGGACGGTTTCTGTGTCTGTCTCTCAATGCCCATATGTAGTAACCAGGTTAGGCAGGAAGTACTTATTAATGCAATAACTTCTGTTACTCTACAAAACTATTCAAAAGTCATATGTAAGCTATGACTGAAAGTGGAGAGCCACATGAACAAGAACATGGCCCGTCCTAGCCTGTTTGGCTCAGTGGATAGAGCATCAGCCTGCGGACTGAGGAGTCCCAGGTTCGATTCCGGTCAAGGGCACATGCCTGGGTTGCAGGCTTGATCCCCAGTGGGGGGTGTGCAGGAGCCAGCTGATCAGTGATTCTCTTTCATCACTGATGTTTCCATCTCCCTCTCCCTTCCTCTTTGAAATCAATAAAAATATATTTAAAAAAAGAAAAGAAAAAGAACATGGCCCTAGCCAGTTTGGCTCAGTGGATAGAGCTTGGGCACGAGTACTGAAGGGTCCTGGGTTCGATTCTGGTCAAGGGCACGTACCTTGGTTACAGACTCGATCCCCGACCCTGTTTGGGGTGCTTGTGGGATGCAACCAATCGATGTGTGTCTTTCACGTGGATGTTTCTCTCTCTCTGTCTCTCCCCCTCCCTTCTACTCTCTCTAAAAATCAATGGAAAAATATCCTCAGGTGAAGATTAACCAAAAAAAGAAAAAAAAAAAAAAAGAAAAAGAAGAGGTCCACAGGAGGAATACCGACTGAACAATGAAGAGATGCAAAGAGAATCTGAACAACATCCGGAAGCAGGTCAGTGGGCCTTCAGGGGTCGTTCTCTCCGCCTTACCTTGTTGGAGATATCCGGATCGCAGCCGGCCTCGCAGAGGGCCACCACAATGGGCACGTTGCCGTCCTTGCAGGCCACGTGCAGGGGGGTGTTGCCGTGCCTGTCTTGGAAATTGACGAAGCTTCCCTGGCTGAGCAGCGTCTGGATGACCTCCATCTGACACCGCCTCACAGCGAGATGAAGAGCGATGTGTCCATCCTGCAACAGACACCAGGGCCGTGAGCACTTCCACTGGGGCACGTGGGCCTGGCCTCGCCCTTCCCGCTGCCACCGGGCTGGGTTTAATTGGCAAAGGCTCCCTACTGCAAAGGCTGAAGGAGGATCAGAAACCACACATTTACTCCTGGGGGGCGGGGGGAAGGCTCCATACATTCCACTCTGAATAATCAGACTCTGCTGACCATCGGCGCCGTTAATCTAGGCTCGGCCGGTGCAATCGGGTGGGAAGACTGGACGCTGCTTTTTGTCTCTGCCTGTACAGGACTTAAGTAACAGGCCTCCAATGGCCCGTTTTCTCAAGTAGTTGAAAGATACCTTTAAGAACATTTGCTCAGCAATCTTTACACCAGGAGAAGCTGCGAAAGTGATGCGAAGGGATTTGGTCCAGGGCTGTCATATGTATGAAAAGCAAAGATAACATGCTTACTCTCTGTGTCCCACCAAAGACCAGCCTGAGGAGTCCTTCTACCTTTTATAGAATCCCTGGTGAGCAGAGGTATTGAGTTCAGGAGCTGGTAGAGGGTTTTAGAAACATTTCTTAATCTCAGCACACTGACTGACATTTTGGTCCTATCCTGTGAGTCGGAGGATATAAGAGGCACCACCAGTCTTTATCTACTAGACACCAGCAGTAACACCCGAGACAACCAATAAATGTCTCCAGTCATTGCCAAATGTTCCCTGGGGGCAAGATCGCCCCCAGTTGAGAACCGTTTCTCTGTACCAGGAAAATACTCCACAAATGGCTGTTACTAAGTTAACTACAGTGTCCAAGTGTAACTATATATGGCAAGATCACAGCCTCATTTTAAGTACAAGCTCACAATAAAAACAGATCACGTTGAATTTGCTTAATTAAAAATCGACACCTGGTCTAGATTGAGTTTCTACAAAATAGCAGGTGATGGAAATCAATAAGCCACCTATTTCTTTGTTTATCTACAAATTAATAGTGTACTGCCAATTTTAGCCCTAAATGAGGATTGTCTTGGGCTCAGCGATCATCACTGTACCTGCTCCCAGCTAAAATAAAAGAGACCCGAGACATCTGATCAATTCATAAATTTTGCTACATGCCACAAGTGAATATTAATTATAAAACAGAATCTAGAAAAGTTCACGGAATCTTTGAAACAGAGAAGAGAAAGGATAATTACAATTTGCTGCATTCAAGTTCATCTTGGGTAATCTCACTGCAGAAGGCTTGTGGTCCCTCCAGCCACCCCCAGATCACTTCTCGGCGAGTGTGATGCATTCACCCGCAACGCACCTTGTCAGAGGCATTCAGGTCGCCTCCGTGTTCGGCCAGACACTCCACGATGTCGTGGTAGCCCCTGGCGGACGCTGTCAGGAGGGGCGTCTCTCCTTCTCGGTTCTTAATGTTCACGTTGCAGCCGGCTTCACACAGGGCTTTGGCCACAGAGTAGTAGCCGTGCCAGGCAGCACAGTGCAGGGGGGTTTCTTCTTCCTGCCGAGGCGACAAGTGCAATAACATGAGAGAAAGTGCAGTCCAGGCGAGAGTCCCCGCTGAACCCGGCAGCAAAGTCAAGGCAATGGAGAGAGTGAGCGGACAGCTACTGGAGTGAAACACGAGTCTGAAATTAATAGACACAGGCCTCTCCTTCGTTAGTTTTGTCTCCTCAACGCTTGTGCGTTGGATGCATGGGGCATTGTCAGCATCTGAACGACGAAGGACGTCAGGAACCCACAGCTCAGCGCTTTTGAACAATCGAGCTCCCGTGCAGGTGGAATTTTAGCATCTTTCTCACAAAAGTGCTACGTTTACTTCATCTGAGGTTACTGACGGTAAGAGAGCACTTCTTTGAACAAGAATTCTCATAACAATCTTGATGCCTCACCATGTCTGCCATGCATTTGACAAAGACGAGTCACATAAACATATTATTGCTGAGGCAAATAAAAGTAAGGGAGGTAACCGTGTTGTAATAGTCAAAGAGAGGGCTGGCCGTGGGGTCTATAGGGTTGGAAGGCTGTATATTCATGGTCAGCATCATTAGACACGTATGTCCGCCTACGCAAGGCCATTGGAGTTAGTGGGTACTGACAGGGATGCTGGAACCAGACCCTGTGGTTTCGAATCCCAAACCCTAGCTCTCCCACTTATGAGCTGTGTGAGCCGGGGCAAGATACTGAACCTCTCCCTGCCTCCGTTTCCTCTTCTGTAAAATGAGAATGACAGTAACAGTAATAACAGCTCATAGGGTTGTCCAGAGGATTAAATAGATGGATGTTAGGTGGTGTTTCTGTTTGAGGCCCCGCCCTCTGGAATCGAAGCAGAAACTTGGATAAAACTGGGAGGACTGGGCCAGGTCATTGTCTGCCTGTACATCATGCAGAGAGCAGAAGGAAGGGAGGACACCAGCTACCATGACCCACCTTGTCCTGGAAATTGGGATTGGAGCCAAAGCTGCACAGTAACTGAACCACATCGGCGTGGCCGTAGCGAGCCGCCACGTGCAGGGCTGTCTCTCCAGACTGCAAAAGAAACAGCCAGAGATTCAGAGAGCCCCGGGAGCAGGCTGTGGGGACTGGAAGGCATAGGACTGGAGGCCCGGCCAGACACACCTGGCTCCACTTCCTTCCTTCGGGGGGTGCCCACCTCCCTCTGTCCAGATGTTGCCTGGGCCAGGGACCCTGAGGGTGGCGTGTCATCACGGAGCTGGTGTTAAACCCATTCGCCGGGCTCACCGTTTGTCATACAACCCCAGGTGAGACGGCTTTCCCTGGTCTGTGACGGCTGTTCTCACACTTACCTACTGCTGCTTCCAGCTGTGTGATTTCTTTAAACACAAAACTCCTTTCTTTAATACTAGGTTCATCACCCAGCAGATATGTAAATGGACAGTTTTATTAACTAACATGTTTCTGATTTCATGGTCCATGTTTAGAATCTCATTTCTTATACTCTCAGAGATTTTAAAACATCACTATGAGCTTTCAGTGAATCAGTAATAGAAGCAACTTCCTTAAGGTATTTTACGTAGAGCTGCCAAAAAACCCATCAGAATAAATTAATTAAAACACAGCAAAACGAGATACCTTATCGCCACCTGACAGAAAAGGGCCATGATAAACACACTTGTCTATGATGTGAATGTCGTGCTTAGATGGGTGCAGGGCACAGTCCATACGACTGTGTGTGGCGGCTCTGACCGAACGTGACACCTTATGCGGCAAGTGTTAGAAGCAGAGATGGGATGCTCAGTAGGACCCATCCTGGGTGAGAAGGTAGGAATCCTCGGTGCAGGTGCAGGACTGTGGGAGGGACTGAATGAAACCCGAGTATGTGGAAGGAAGGGATCTTGCTAAGTCAATAATTTTATAACCTCTGTGGCCCCCCAAGCCTTACTTTACATGCATTACTTTACATGCATTGCCTCATGAATCCTCCTAGTGCCGGTGACTGTAAGGTCAGCACTGTCAGCCACTTCAGAGATGAAGAGTGTGGTCAAGAGACATGCACATGGTGAGCCAATGTGAGGTTCAGGACTCGGGTCTCTTTCTGGTTGTCCTTCTACTAGAACTTAGGGTTTTCATGTAACTCATGCAAATTAATTCACGGCTTGCGTCTCATGGCAACTGTCTGGCAGATTTCAGCTAAAAGCAGATTTTAACATTAGACCAAGCCACAAAAACAAATTTCTAGATTAAATTCTCTGTAGGAAGATTTGGGTCCCGAATCCTTGTTCTTTGGCTCCTGATGTGCGTGACAAGACGAAGCTCAAATGCAGCCGTTTGTTATTTCCCCCGTCCCTAGGAAAATCGGCCTTACCTTGTCTTTAACATCCAAAGGGCATTTGTTCTCATGGAGAAATTTCAAGGTGTCCACGTGGCCGTGCCGAGAGGCCCAGTAGATGGCATTGGATCCACCCTGTGCAGAAACCAGCGTGCAGTCACACTTCCAGAGCCGAGGGATCTGAATGCACGTCACTCAGACACACTCTACTCCCCTTCCTCCGTGACGGCAAACTCCACAGAAGCACCTTCCATGGGGAACAACCTCCCCTCCCCCCTCCCCCCCCATTTCATTTATTTTTGCATAGGGATCGAGGTCATGTGAAATGCTAACATTCCAAGGAGCTGGGCGGGAGGGGGGGGGGGTTCGGGGATGAGGGAGCTCTGTGTATTATCTTCGCAGATTTTTTTGGCAACTCTAGAATTATATCAAAATAAAAAGTTGTTTCTCTTTTCTTAAAACCTTCACTTGAACCTCTGGTTGGAAGTCCCTATATTGTCAAGGGCCGGATCTAGTCCTTTTACAGCTCTGTTGAAAGTCTTTGGAAGAGGAGGACAGATCCATTACAATGACTATTAGCTGTTAATCAATGTGCCTACACTTCCAATGCGATTTACACCTCAAAGCATATCATCCTTCCCTGTGGCCCTAATAAACCAGCAGGCAAATGCATTTCTGGTGAGACGAATTAGACAATGAAAACTTTCCCAACTGTGACATCTTACAATAACACTGTTTAGTAAGTGATCAGTGAGGAGAAACATCTAGGGTAGTGAACAAGGAATGGCTGATACCCAAAAACAGAGCCCAGAGAAAGATCAATGTTTTCCTCTTGCTTTACAACACCTGTTAGCTTGGACCAGGCTACTTCAGCAATTCAGCTTCCCTTGTAGGAAACTGAAGTAGAGATACATGTTATTTTCTCTGTTACCTCTAAGATCAGAGGCATTTGGGAATACTTAAAAAATTAATTTATTTGCAATAAGACAGAATGATACCTTATCCTGGACATCGATTCTTGAGCCTCTTTTAATAAGCAACTGTAGCATTTGAATGTTCCCACAGCCAGCAGCAATAAGTAACGGAGGCGTCCCATGCTGGAATAGGCAAGACAACAAAACAAAACTATTTTTCAGGTTTGGTAGGAAAAAAAATGCACGAATTATCATTGCTATCCCACACACCTTCCTGTCTCAACAGGTGCGTGAGGACTGCTACATAACAGGAACAGAGGACAGTCAGAACACAGCATGCTTCCTCTTTTGGTTTCACAATCAAAAGGTAACATTTTCATTTGTGGGATGAGTCCTTTAAATTTTCATGGTTAGCCCTAGCTGGTTTGGCTCAGTGGATAGAGCGTTGGCCTGAGAACTGAAGGGTCCTGGGTTTGATTCTGATCAAGGGCACATGCCTGGGTTGCGAGCTCGATCCCCAGTAGGGGGCGTGCAGGAGGCAGCCGATCAATGATTCTCTCTCATCATTGATGTTTCTATCTCTCTCTCTTTCCCTCTTCCTTCTCTGAAATCAATAAACATATTTTTAAAAAATAAATGTTCATGGTTAGAGGTGTAATTGGTGCATGTGGAATGGCCTTGCATGAAGAAAGGCACTGAATGCAAAAAGACCTTATGTCTAAGTCATTTCACTCTCTACACAGAAGTGAGCTTTTCCACAGTATGGAGCTTGCAAATAGAAGGGAGAAGGAGGAAGCAGACAGGGTCTCTCCCCCTGGGACTTGGAGGTGCATAGTCCCATGACCCCCCCCCCCCCCGCCGCCATTATCCCTGATAGAACAGGATCAGACCTTGTTGGGTTGGTTAACATCATAGTTGGACAATGAGCCCAGGAGGTGCTGCAGGCCTGGGACATTGTCATCGTTGATGGCATGGATGATGGCTTTCATCACAAAGGAGTCTTCCTCATCCTTGAGAGAGACAACAAAGAGCGTGTTCTAACATGTCCTGGGATTCGCAGGATATTGAGATGAATGAGAACCCAAGGTCTGAGAGGAAGAAGTCTTCCCACCTGGAGTTCCTACACGGCCTAGGTTCCTCTTCTACCTTAAACTTTTCTTGCAATAAATGTCATTTCTCCCAACCGATTATTCAGGATGATTTTAATGTATAATATTCAATCATTCTCATTATCTTATATTAATAGTTTTATCTTTCCTTTGGACCCACAATTTCTAAATCCAGCCTTCTGCCTCCTTCCTCTCCCTTCTTCTACCTTGCTTTTCTCCCATTTCTTTTTCTTTTTAACATATACAATCTCTTTTCACACCACAAGGCTAGAGCTTGAGCCTCAGGGAAACTAGTACTAACTTTGTGGGGGGAGGTGGGAATGAAAGAGCTGGTGTGTGCTGATGTGTGATCCTGCCCTTGGAATCCCCAGATTCCACTCAGGAAACGCCGACTATTCAGTTACAGGAGTGGCCTGGTTCCCACAGAATCACCCTTTCTGCCTTTCCTGGAGTTCCCTTTACCTCCAGGGTTAACAAAGCCCTGTTGTCTGACTGTCAGAGCAAAGTCTTGTTGAATTTAAATATGTCTCGTCATATCTGAAGAGTCAATCTGTGATTAGGTTTCAGTATGGATTAAAGGGAAAAAATTATGGAGTTGTTCTCAAGGGCTTTGGACAGTCAGTACAATGCTAACAAAGCAAGTGGGTTTAGCCTTCTGGTCTACCACAAACTACATCAGCAAGCCCTACTGCTTTTCCCCTGATTTTGTGGGGAGTGTGAGTGTGTGTTCAGGGGGAGGATTATCTGGCCCTTTTGTATACTACAACCCAAGAGTCTCCCAGGTCAGTGGCAATAGAAGGCTCTCATTTCAGTTTAATAAAAATCAAAATGAGCTCTTCCCTCTTCTACTGACCAGCGTCTCTTTTATCAAACTGTGACTGTGGGAGGAGGTGGGTGGCAGTGTTAGAGGTAATGGGAGTAGGTATAGTGCCAATCAAAACACAGAAAAAAGGACGAAGAAGCAACAAAGTACATACATCAGCCATCCCAACTCCCTAACCTGAGACGAGGAAGGGTAAGTCTGACATTTACATGACTTCAGGTTTTCTGAGTTGTCGAACAAATCAAACAACCTAGATATGCTGGTAGAGGGTTACGGAAACATTTCTATACCTAGTGCTAAGAAAGAACCTCACCAAGGCAAACAAGTTTGCTTACCAGAGTATCGTCGCTTCTGGCAACACTCATGTTACTTCTGGACAAGAACGACCTGGATAATCTTTGGCACAGTGATATCAAGCGAACTGATTGCTTAAAAAAAGAAAAAGAAAAAAGAAAAAAAAGAGGATAAATAAAGGCAGGGGGAGAGGAGGAGAGAGAGAGCTTATGCAACAATACTCAAATCAGTGCAAGTGACAGTCTCTGAGATAGCATTCACTGCTGATAGCATGCATTCTCGGGGGCAGGCATCCCACGCATAGGTTGGATTGTATTTGCTTAAAGAATAATTCTACAGGTCTTAGACATCAAGACAATAGGATAGAGAGAAAGTCTCCTTCTTCATTTCATTATTAAACTACAAAACTGGATGCCCTACATCCCTTTTCCTCTCGATATGTTGTTCTTGATTCTTTGAGGAATTAGCTCTTACCCTAGCAAAACCCCTGCACATCCCCCCTCAGAGAAGCAGAGTATGCAAGGGTCTTGCCCTGTGTCCTTGGTCCCAGGCAAGCTGGTAATGGTAGACAATGTGACTATCAAAACTCATACAATTGTTGGAAATGCACAAGAAATAGAATCAGCAAATCCCTCCATGTCAAATAATCTTACTTTCCATTTTTTCCGGGCTGCAAACTTCTTGAATTTCTCCATGTTTACTGCTGATGCTTTTCTACTAAGTGCTTGTTGGGTATCTTTAGGCTAAAATGAAAGTCCAAGAAAATATTTACAGCTTTTAAATTACAGAAATGTGTTACATGACAATTTTTTGAAACCTCTCATTATTTGGAGTACTTGCTTACACATTTACCTTGCTAGAATAACAAAACATATTCAAATAAAATGCAGGATCTAGGAACCTAGTCGGCAGAGGCTAACGCTTGTGGCTAAGGATTTGCTACAATCTACAAAGACTGGATGTTGGGGCCTTAGCTGGTTTTGCTCAGTGGATAGAGCATTGAGCCTGTGGACTGTAGGGTCCCAGGTTCAATTCTGGTCAAGGGCATATGCCTAGGTTGTGGCCTCGATCCCCAGTGGGGGGCATGCAGGAGGCAGCAGATCAATGATTCTCTCTCATCATTGATGTTTCTATCTCTCTCCCTCTCCCTCTCCCTTCTTCTCTGAAATATATTGGATAATATATATGGGTGCTGGGGAAAAGTTGCAAAGTTGAGCTTGGGCCAAGCTGAATTACAACTTTTCATAAAAAAGTCTGGGAGTGGCAAGATGCATGGTGAGGCCATGTTCTGAGGCATTTGAACTTGAACATCAAGTAATTTAGAGCTCGGAGGGACCTCAGAGGTCAGTGAATTAAGCCTGTCTGACAGCATTAGCATGCCTTCCGTTGCACCTTTTTTCAGGAAGCCATGTAGCTCTGCCTCTGAGAGAGACACCATTGCCTTCTAGCCACTGTCTGGGCCTGGTACAGGCAAAGAGTTCTCTAGCTGCACCAGACCTGCTTTTGTAATGCAAGTCATGGCATCACAACCTGCTCTTGGTTCCACGATTTTATTCTGGAACTGCCATGTTCCCCCACCCTCAGGCCTTTCTGTTCTTGCTGAAGGAACCTCAGGTCTTTTGTGTGTGGAATTTCTATCAGAGTTTATTTGAACCAAACTGTTGCCAGGGAGCAAGATTTCAAATGCTTTGGGGAATGACATTTTCAGTTTCTTTTATGCATCTGAAATTAGGGAGGGAACGTAAAGAAGATTATAGGATGATGGGTGAAAGCAAGGTGGGGATCGGATTACAGGAGAGTTAACAAGATTATGTGCTCTCTTGAAGGTGGTTATCCCTTATTTCAAAGGTGTGTTAACATAGATACACCGTAAACAACGGACCCCTGTCCATTGCTTCAGGAAAGATAAACCTCTTATTAAAAAAGTTTTATGCCTCGGGCTTGACTACCCACTATGACCCATGACCTGCCCAGTTAGAAATTTATAATCAGATCGCTCTGTGAGGTTACTTTCCATAGGACCCCTTTTCATCCACAGCAACTTCAATTATTTAATCTAAATGCCCGAAGGTGTCAGGCAGGCAATATAAAGGTGTAATATGCAAGGAGGTGGCCATAGGCCCTGGCCGAAAGGCCTCCTGGAATGAGGGCTCAGTTTGAGTAGACTTGACCTTCAGATCCCTTTACAATCTTGCGTTAGGATAGCTTTCTCGTCTCCTACTCTTATCTGCTAGTTGTGTTAAAATATGGCACCAAAAGCAAACACAACTCTCCAGAAGTGTCCTGTGGTTAGAACCCACAGAATTAGTTATGCCCTGGAACACACCAATTTCAGGAGGCCCTTTAATACCCAAACCAGTCACCAAAGGCAGCTTACCTTGATCCAGGGGTGCTGCAAACTATCTTGAATGGTCATTCTCTTCCTTTGTGGGGAGAGAAGAAAGAAAGAAAAAAATGCTGTGACCACAGAAGCAAACACTAGGTTGTTTCCATGCCGGCTGGGCCTACAAAACAGATGTTCTAGAAAATGAAGTTTGGGGCTTGCTTCATGGAAGAGAGTCGAGAAAAAAGTACGCCTGTGTCATGATTTCACTGTGCCTGCAGGACTGACTGAACAGGTACACAGGAGCCTGCATTTCCTGGTTTCACATGGCATGCTTCCCCCTTCGAGGAGCAAACAACCAGGGTCTCCTAGGTGTGGCCTCGTGCACAGGACAGGGGCAAACCCTTGTCGAGCGGAGGCCACGGCTGAGCACTTTTCGGGAACAGTGGACACTCACTTTGGATCCTTGACGAGCAGTCTTCTTATGAAATCTTTGGCGAGGGCACTGGTATTACTGAAGTATTCTTCTTCAAATTCGTAGTTGACAGCGGATACATTTGCTAACGTCTCTTGCTTAGTGTCTCCGAGAAATGGCGAGGCCCCACTTAGGCTGTTGATAAAGTGGGGCACAGAGCATGAACAGTTACCTCTTGTGTTGTCATTTCGTTCCCATAATACCTGATAAGGGGGGCGAGGAGTAAGATTATAATGTGGTGCTTGGGCAATCGTTTTAGAATTCCATTTAATTGTCAGGCACGAAGGCTTCGGCTTAATGCAAAGGATGCATTTAAAAAGTTAATCTGGAACAGCATCTAGTAGTTTACAAAAAACCTCTAGCCTGTTCCCTCAGTGATGGACAGACATGCTTTCTTCCAGTGATTATGCTGCAGTTTCTGATGACTCACTTCAAAGTCGGAGAAAATGTTTAATTAGTATAAACTAAGCGTGTTCTGGGGGTGTAAAATGAATGTTTACATAAAGAGCATGCATAAGCTGAAGAGATCAACATGACTGCTTAATAAAACATATGGTCTCCAAGAAAGAGGGAGAGAATACAAGTTGTGGGTTCTGGTACTTACAGAATATAGGTGATTACTCCAATACTCCTAGACACGAAACAGAAACAAAAACGAATGTCAGAATAATAGTAAATTAAATCAGAAAGATGACAACATCAAGGATGCACTGCTTACCACATATCTGCCTCGAGACCAAGAGGTTCATAGTTGACTATCTCAGGAGCTAAGAGGAAAGAAATGCACATTGAGAGAGACAGTTTCAGAAGGAAGCAAACCAACAGATCGTATTTTCATGTATAAACCGGACACATGTACCAAGGAAATGATGCTGCAGCCGGGGAAATTCTGCCAACATAATGCTTATGAGAACTAAGTGACCACAGGAGCAAAGAAACTTACCAACAAATTCTGGTGTTCCAAATATGTTTTTGAATTCATTTCCAAAGTCAATTTTATGGGCCAGCCCAAAGTCGATGATCTTGATCCGAGGTTTGGGAACATTTCTATCCAAAAGCATTATGTTTTCAGGCTTAAAAAAAAAAGAAAAAAAGAAATAGTGCTGCAGCGATATAGTAACCAAAAGGTGGAAAAAGATCCAATGTCCACCAACAGAGGAATGGATAAACAAAATGTGGTAGATAACAGAATGGAATATTTATTCAGCCTCAGAAAGGCAGTCAAGTCTGAAACTTGTTACAACATGGAAGAACCTTGAAGGGCATTATGCTAACTGAAATAAGCCAGATAAAACAGGATAACTATTATATGATTCCACTTATATGAAGTACCCGGAATGGGCAAATTCAAGGAGTCAGAAAGTAGAATGGTGGTGGTGAGAAGATGGGGTTGGGGGAAAGGATGGGGAGTTATTGTTTAATGGGCACATAGTTTCAGGGTGGGAAGATCAGTAAGTTCTAGAAGTAGATGGTGGTGATGGTTGCACAACCAGGTGGCTATACTGATGCCACTGAACTGCATACTTAAAAATGGTTAGAATGGTATAAATTATATGTTATCTTTATTTTACCACAATAAAAAAATATAGCAGCTAAGCTATGCTATACTCAGGTAAGGTGGCTGAATAACTCTTCCTCTCCCCTGAAAAAACAACTGAAAAACAGGCATAAAGGGTACTTGCAACAGAACACCAGGAAAAATAAATGTTCTGGTTTAGGTTCTCCCAGGAGTAGACCTGGGACATTTGGGGGCATGTGGCTTATGTGGGAGCCACTTGGTAGAGGAATGGGGAGACAGGAAATGGAAGGAAGCCGATACAAGGCATCTTATCAAGTTAGGGGTGACTGGAGTGTGACCCCTTTGAGGAACTTGGGGAGAAAAAGTAGCACTCAGAGTTTTCCAAATAAAACAGGAGGGAAGGAGGGAGTTTGGGGGTTTACTGACCATCTCGCCATTCTTTGTTGCTAAGAGCTGTGCCTATGGGCATTTACTTTTTTTTTTTACTATATTTTTATTGATTTCAGAGAGGAAGGGGGAGGGAGAGAGTGAGAGAAACATCAATGATGAGAGCGAATCATTGATTGGCTGTCTCCTGCATGACCCCCTCTGGGGACTGAGCTTACAACCTGGGCATGTGCCCTCCTTGACTGGAACTGAACCTGGGACCCTTCAGTCCACAGGCCAACACTCTATCCACTGAGCCAAACCGGCTAGGGCAGCATTTACTCTTTAGCATTGCCAGCTCCCAGGGCCAGAAACCAGAGGTCAAGCAGAGAGCCATAGGTGTTTGCAACAGCAGTCTTTGGGGTGTGCCTTAGTGAGTGTCGCGGGGATAGAGATGGGGTCTTCATAGCTTTGCTATAATAGCATGAAGAAAATCCTTCCTCTGCTATGGTCCTATCCTAGCTCCAATGATCTAAACCATTCACTTGGCAATCGATCACATGCTACTTTGCACTTGAATCTAAACATTGACATTGTCACTTCCTGTGGCTCAAGGGTGTCTTACCTTCCCAAAGAGACCATGACCTCTGTGACTGTTGGGAGTATGACATTAGATCCCATAATGCCCTGCCTCTAGCCAGGTATGACCCCACTAAGCCAATCTCAGAATTTGGCTTGATTGATTGCCGGTGACAGAGTCAGACCCATAAGCCTTTTTGCATCAAGAGGAAGAGTAGACATTGAGGCTCTATCTTCCATGCCCTGCAGCCACCGGGGGATGGAGACTGGGAAGCCAGTGGGCACTCCCAGCTGAAAATGTCCTACCACCATCAGCAGCTCTGTTGCTGTTGAGATCTGGCTGATGAGACCTCTTGATTCTTCTCCAGAGATTCTCAAATGTAATCATTAATCTTAAGCCTCTATTCCACATAAAGTTAGAAATCACTGCAGAAGGCATGCATTATACACTGGCTGATTTACACTGATAATTCCATTTGTTATACCCACAGGAACGACAAGTATCTCTTTCAAGTGCTTCCATTTTTTTCTTAGCAAACAAACAACCAATGCTGTGGTTTTCATCAGCTTCTCTCTGACTAACACTCAGCAACGTACCTTAAGATCAAAGTGGGCAATCTGGAGGGAGTGCAGGTAGTAAACACCATTAAGAATTTGTTTGAGAAATTCAGTTGCTTCCTCTTCAGTCAAAGATTCCTTTTCAGCTAAGAAGTCAAACAGCTCGCCACCTGCAACACTGGAAATCAAGAAGCAGAGGTTACTGATGACAGTTCTGTTTCATAGTTGATGTGTTCTCTCACAGGCTATCGGCACATTCAAATTTCAGGCCAGAGAACAGCATAAGGATGTGCTAAGCACGGAATCAGAATTCTCACTGGATGAGACATCTGCATTCAGGTACATTTGTGCTCAAAAGCACTTGGGTACCATTTTCCTAATGGCACTATGTTCACAAATGAGGGAGGAAGCAGAGACATGATGGGGGTGGGGATCAATGGATCCTTAAAACATTTTAATTAAACGTATTTGGAGATGAAGTCACAACTCCCTGACTAAGAAACAAAACAACAACTTTGTACAGAATTTATTAAAAATCCATCTTCCTAGCTCAATCAGAGGGTACCTGGAAAGTTCATATTCCATATGTCAACCAATGTTTTAAACCCCAAATCACAGTACATAGATTGACAAGGATTTTTTTCTTTTGTATTTGTTTATTGGCAAATCCCTCTATGTTTATATAAGTCACATTTAGTAATGAATTTAACAAATACCCTAAGTAATAAGAATAAACTTACACAAAATTGAAATGCACATGGCTGTTGGGGATTTATTTAATCAATCTCCCTGGCCAGACTGTAAGGCCCTGAAGGGTAGAGATCAGCTCCAGCTGTTGGCCCACATCTGTCCCCACCTTCCTGAACAGTGCCCACCACATAGCAAGAACTCAAAACTTTTTTATCAAGTGGATAAAAGAGCAAACTCCCCTGATTAATGGCAAATAAAAGGGAACTTTTAATAAGAGTGCTTATAAATTAATGTTTAGCATTTAACTATACATTCACAACATAATAATTAACTGCAATTATGCATATAACTGCTGTGTTCATTATCTTTCTTTCAGCAAGACAGCTCCATGAACACCATACCTATATTGACAACAGGGTGCTCACGGGATTAAACAATAGGACAGAAAAAGCTGTTTTCTTAAAGAAAAGTTTCAGAGTCCTCTGTCCAAGTCAGTGTCTTCCTTAGCCTGGTCCATGGCCCATAGGATGGGAAGTGTTTGGGGCGTTTTGACAATGCAGATTCTGGGCCTCACTTCCAAACTGCTGCCTGAGAGTTCCTAAGAGTGGGGATCAGGAAATGCAGCAGCATTTTGAACAAACACCCCGGGTAACTTAGCACATTAAAAACAGGGACCCCTTTTCAAAGTCTTAATTACCTGCCTCTGCGGCATGGCCACCCTCTGATGTTTAACTTCCGGATGTTTACCCAGAGGGCGAGGTGACTTCTCCACCCTGGGGCCGGAGCAGAGGGCTCTGGCAGATCTGCGATGGCTGCCCTCTCCTCTCCACAGTGAGGACCAGCAGACCCCGGGGGGCAGAGGCCTGCAGTTGGCCACACTGGCCGGGTAGCGGCCTTCCTGTCTGCAGCCTCTCAGCCTGGCTGCCCTCTCCTCCCCACAGTGCATGGCTCCCACTCAACTCCACGAACCCTCCACTTCTCACTTCTCTGTGTTCTTATTCCTCTTAAAACCAACAATAATGTCCTGGCTGGGTGGCTCAGTGGTTAAGGGTGGATCTATGAACCAGGAGGTCACAGTTCGATTCCAGGTCAGGGCACATGCCCGGGTTTCGGGCTCGATCCTCAGTGTGGGGCATGTAGGGGGCAGCTGATCAATGATTCTCTCTCATCATTGATGTTTCTGTCTCTCTCTCTCCCTCTCCATTCCTCTCTGAAATTAATAAAATATATTTTAAAAAATGTATATATATACACACACACACATATACATACATACATACATATATGTATAAAGAACCAATTATAATGGAGAGGGAATCCTTCAACCACAGGGAACAAAAAGGAGGAAAAATGGTAAACTGTCAACCGACCGCTGCTGAGGCAGATGCTGCATCCTGTTTGCCTCGGTGCCCTCTGCCGTTGGAGCCACAGAGGGCTGCTCCGTGGGAGGCTGGCCCACAGTTGGCACATCCGGCTGAAATCTTAACTCTGCAGCCAGAGGTTATTCCTTCTCTCTGAGCCTCATTTTCTCATCAAATGGGAATAATAGGGCCTCTTAGTTTTAGGGCTTTGAGGATAAAGATAGTAAATATACATAAAGCAACTGGCAGGCAGGTCTGGCAGGAGTTGAGGCCCAGAAAGCAGAACTGGTGCCCTTACAAAGGAAGGAAAGCCCTTTCCTACAGAACACCACCCCTCCCCCCAGGCTTCCCCATGAGAGTCCCCGCCCTGCTTCCTCCCTCTCCCAGCTCCAGTCCATGGGTGTGGCCAGATGGCTGCACCCCCGGAGGGGTTCTCCAGGGACGGTGGTGCCCAGTCCCAGCTTCTCTTTCTGTCCCCCTCCAGGGCCTTCCGCACTCCCCCTGCTCACACAGGCTGCTGGTTCCTGACATGGAGAAACAGCTGGGGTTTGGCTGCCCGGAGCTGGGGAGAATCTTTGAGCTCCTGAACAGCTTGGTACAGGGAGGAGGCCCAAGTCCTTCCTAGGAACCCCACTGCTGTCCCAGGCCAAGTCTTAGCACTAATTTTTCAGCTGGAGTGGCCATCTCATACTCTCCCATTCAGTCTTCTTTTTTTTAAAAAATTATACTTATTGATTTAAAAGAGGGAGAGAGAGAAACATCAATGATGAGAGAGAATCATTGATCGGCTGTATCCTGCATGCCCCCTACTGGGGATCGAGCCCGCAACCTGGACATGGGCCCTTGACTGGAATTGAACCTGGGATCCTTCAGTCCTCAAGCTGACGCTCTACCTACTGAGCCAAACCGGCTCGGTCCCCCTATTCAGTCTTCTTGTGCTGAGCAACTCACCTCCAAGGTGCTTCCTGACCACAGAAGTGAGAACCAGAACAACCCTGGAGCCCCCAGGTAAGGGACCAGCCCGAAGGGGGGCAGGGTCTGACAGGACTGAGGAAGGAGGCACGGGCCATCTCCAGCTTTCTCCTCTACCCCGCTCGCAGGTCCTGTTCAGATATCCTGCTGTTCACGACGAGGTCCACACCGTCTCTTGTCCAGGAAGCCAAGTCATGCAGCTGGACATCAGGAGGGTGAGGGAGCCCAGCTCACTAGGCCCGGACCCATCCCTGGTTTCCTGCTGCCTGAAGGCCCTACATACACATGCATCCTCCTCACACCCCTACGGGAAGGCAGATGTCTCCACCATGAGTCTCTACTTACAAAATCTCTAGTCATTAATCAAAGTGATTGGAAGGAAGTGATTTCAGCCAAGGTTGGGGAGCATGACAAGCATCGTTTGGCAGTTTACTGTCCCCCCTGCCCCCATCTCAGAAGGTAGAAAGTGACCTGAAGGTTCTTTCACGTAGGCACTTTCACACGCATGCTCAGAACCAGAACTCAAAGGCTGAAGAGCAGAATAATGTTAACAAGGGATCAGTCAAACCCTGGCACTTCCACTCTTTGTTCCAAATTTTACATTTTGCTTAAGAGAAGGAAGATTGAAGGAGAGATGAGCAATCTATGCAGCAAATTTAGAAAATCTTACCTCCTTTATTAGGTCTTTGAGTCAGAGTGTTTTAAATTATAGCATTATTATGGAAATTACGTGAAATGAATGCTAATGAGCACTGGCTGCTTTCTCCCAGAGAGAGCTGGGAAATGTGAAGGTTCCCTCTCCTCCCATTCCTTCCCCTCCCACCAATGCCTCTCCTAAAAGCGATCCCTAACAGAATGTAATTAGGATACATTACTGCTTTAAAAACAAAGTGGGCCTTCAGAGTTACATAAGAGAAACGATCACAGGATTCCAATTTCTAAAACAAAACACTATTTGGGGTTCCTAACGCTTCCTAGAAATTATGCAAGACTTAACAGGACTTGATGCTGGGACTGCGTCTGATCATAAGGCAGGATAGTAAGGAGCTGGGGAGATTCCTTGACAAGTGGAATAAGAGACAATATAGTTAAAGGAGGCCAAACAATCTGAGCAATTTACAGCCAGCTAATGAATCACAAGGTTTTATCGTTCCCACCCAAGGAACAAATGGTTTACACATTCCAGACTGCCTGGGGGCAGACTGGCCTGGGTCCTGGTTCCTCTTGGATGATGTTCTTTAAAATGAAACTAACCAGAAAATAACCCCTGACACCTCTATACCCAGCAGAGGGCCCCAAGGAGGACCAGGGGGCAGCAGAGACATTAGGTTTAAGAATATGGATCCCTTGCCTGGCCCTCGAGCATTGACCTATGAATTAGAAGGTCATGGTTCGATTCCGGTCAGGGCACATGCCCAGGTTGTGGGCTCAATTCCTATTGTGGGGTAAGCAGGAGGCAGCTGATCAATGATTCTTTCTCATCTATCTATCTATCTATCTATCTATCTACCTATCTATCTCTTCATCTCTCAAATCAATACAAAAATATTAAGAAAAAAGAATATGTATCCGAGTCACTGTCACTGTTTGAGGGAGAGCCAGCCAACCTGTGACATCCACATTAGACTTTGAGCAAGTGAGAAATAAATCCTATCATGTTAAGCCACTGAGATTTTGTGGTTGTGTTTCATCTGCTCTAAATACAAATTTATTTAATCGGAAGTGATAATACAGTACATTTTAAACATTAAAATTAAAGGAAAGCATCCAGTGCAATGCACAAAGCACACTCATTTTTTTTTTCTTATCTCTTAAGGTTTCTATGGGTCAGGAGTCCAGAACGGGTTGGCTGGGCAGCTCTGGCACAGGGTCTGTCTTTGTCATGGGGGTACAATCAGAGAGTGGCTGAAGTAGAAACTGCAGAACTGCTGGAGCATCTGGGATCTGTCTGGGCCCCTCTCTCCAGGTAGTTTCATGTCTCCGTGTGGTCTCCATTTGAGCTAGTTGGGCTTCCTCACAGCATGGCAGACTCAATGCAAGTGGACCATTTACATGGCAATCCAAGGCTCCAGGGCAAGAGTTCCAGCAAGCAGGGCAGAAGCTGCCTCAGAAGTCACACAGCATCAGAGTGAGTCATAAACTCATCCAGATTCAA